GAACAGACACGCAGATTGGGGGATTATCCCAAAAAATTCTGAAATACCTTTGGTAGCACCATCCTGGCAAAGCAGTGGCTACTCAGAGTAACAGATCCTGGGAAGAAAGGAAAGAGAACTATCAGGTAAAAGCCAGGAAACTGTTTCTGCCTTGGCACACTGGATATTTGAAAGTCAATAGAGGCCTATGTTTAATTCTGGAATCCACATTTCTTAATGGAAATGCAGAGTACATACAGCCTGAGCATTGGTCAAGGGAATCTTAAGAGAAGATGAAAGTAGGACAGTGGAATAGGGATCAGATAGAGGGTGGACAGTTCAGGCTCATAAAAGGGCATAACTAGATCTTGCAGCTGGGAGTGAAAGTAGAAATAAGTCAATGAATCCTCAGTGAGAGCATCATTAATTATTTGGATGCATTATATAAGGAGGTTATATATTCAGTATTTTTTGAGGCCTTAAGGAAATGGCAGTGTTTTTTTAAAGGTTCTAAGGCATGTTCCAGTGAAACCTCTAAAGTCTGTGCCAAGAAAATCATCTATCATCACAGTGTATGGCTTTAAGGTCTACGAGAACAATGTTTTTGCCAGTTGTTAGAGTATTATTGTCTTCAGCAGTGTTGTTTATACTTTGACTTTACTATTAGAAAGTTATTCAGTGCATGCAAATGTCAGTGTGCTCTGGGCAGCTTCCTTGATTGTTTGAGGAGACACTACCCCATGCTTAGCTTTGAAACTTGGCAAGCGTGTCTGATCTGGGAGAGGGTTTGGACATACAGTTTCAGTGATGAAATCCAGCTGATGTTCAGAGGAAAAGTCTACTCCCAGAACACTCCTAGGAGGCCACTGAAAAAAAGACACTGTGCATATTGCTAGGAAAGCAATGGAAGTTAAGTTATGTATGAGTTTTTTTTTTTCTCCCTCTTGTGTAAGTTAACAATACAGGCAAGATCAAAAGTATGGACTTGCACACCAATATTTGCCAGCTTTCTCTCTATCTTCCTGATGTCCCCATCCCTGAGAAGGTAAAATCTTCTGAACCTGAAATCCTTACAGGGTCAAAACTCTTGCTGAGTTATGGGACTGAATCCTTACTGGACCTTGCTGAAAACTACATTCACATTACAGGTCTTCAGCAGAAAGTGAATCCCACTGTGGACTCTTCTGCTCCTGTTACCCTATTGCTTACTTTGGAGATAGATTGCCCATTTCTGGGCAGGTGGAGGTCTTCACCTCCTTCTGCCAGGAAAGCTTGTCAGTGAGGTTTTGGAGGAGCCTACAGGTCTGCAGGAGATGCTAAACCTACACCCTGCAGTTGTATCCTTCCTCTCGTGGATGAGGAGCCGAGGTGTTCACTGCAGCACTGAGCAGGATGCTATCTGCAGGGTGGAGGGGCCATCAGCTTGATGTGTGGTCAGGGTCCATGGGAGGACTTTTCCTTGTGCCAGAAGGGTGAGTTGCAGATCAGCTGGGAGGTGCATCTACACAGAGTAGCCTTTGGTGGTGAGCACCAGTGTTTTGTATGCAGCTGTTCCCTTCTGTGAAGGTAAACAGTTTGATCTTCAAAAGGCACTACAAAAAGCTGACACAAAAAAAAAATGTTTCTCTGCAGCTTGCCCTAGATTTGGAAGCTTTGTAATTTTATTCACATTTCTGGCTTATGCTAGGTAGAAGGAGTAAAAGTCATACATTAGATAAAAAAAATAACAAATCACAGGAGAAATTTATTTACTTCAGCTGGAGTGGGAATGCTCACCTGGTTATTGGCATGTCTATAGGTCACAAGGTGTATTAGTAGAGAAGAGCTATTGTTCTTTGAGCCAGGCTCATTTGTTCCTTTAACAAATGCCCCATTTAAAAGAAAAAAAAAGCCCTTAAGGGTAAAACAAGGGTATATAGCTATAACGTAATCTGATCATTCAGCTACATTTTAATGATCTTTTGTATACTTTCTCTAGCTACTCTATGCCATTATTGCAGTTAGGTTTACACCTTCAAGTTTTTAAATTTATTTAGTTCTTAACACTGTAGTTTAGTTCTTTCATTGTTTAGTGGTTTTATCAGCTCCTGAGGTTTTCCCAGGTAGCATCTCTATAACTTTGGGAGTTATTGGTACATAAAGTTTCCCATATAAAAGACACCTGTGAGGTCTGCAGAACTCCTCTGCTGACTGCACAGCCCAGCACAAAAGACAAGGCCATTAATAGGAAGCACACAGGCCAGAGGTTGCCATCCCCTTCCAAAGAATACAGGAAGGATATGATGTGACAAACATCAGGAGGTATAAATAAATCAATATATTCACTCATGGTGCATAATATAGCAAAGGAGAGAGTAACCTGAGCTACAAACCAAGGCATCAGTCCCATTCCAACCATACAGAAATCACCATAGTAGCTGCCAAAGAAAAGCACTGCTACATACCAAACTCTCAGTCTGTCCTGGTCTTGTCTGTCCCATTGTTGCTGGAAACTCTCATTACAATGGACAGTCAGCAAACCAGCCCACCACAATAACAGACAAACACCCCACACCACCCCAAGGCAAAGCCAGCTTTCATACTATCGACTTTAGAGGCAGGACACCTGATATTAATTCTAAAGGCAGGGAGCACTCGCTGTTAATTTCCCAGTTGGCCTTCACCCAAGGCTGGCTAGGCCTTGAGAGAAAACCAAGAGGGAGGTCTTTCCTGCCTGGTTGTAGGCATCATCCATATGTCAACTTTGATTCAGGGCTTGGAGTTTAGACCCCAGCACTTCAAGATCCTGTGCAGATATTGTCATGATTTTATTGGTGGAAAGATGAAGCAAATAAATTTAATTAATAAAATTAATAAATTAATAAAAGCATTTATTTTAAAATATTAGCAATTAAAAAATATTTTTAAACACAGCTTTGAAAATAATGCCACATGAAGAAACGTCTAAATGGAAAGGTCATAATTAAAAAAAACCTGCATGAACCTTCACTTTTTTTCCTGAATGTACTTGATTGTAAATGTTTGTATGCTTCTAAAGAGAAGACACTTTGGATGTAGCTAAGGAGCTGCTTAAATGCAGTTCAGAAGCTGACTCAGCCCTGTAGGAAGCATTCATTCAGCCTGCAGAAGAGATGGAACCCTTGAGGAAAAGAAATGGATGCTACTCTGGGAGGAAGCTGGCACCTCTCTTCACTGTGTGGAGTTATATTGTGATGTTGATGGGAATGGAAAGGATAAAAAGTAAACCAAAATCATGTGGGCAGCAATCCTGCCTTAGTCAGGATGACTCTGAGGATGGGCTGAAAGCCTTAGTATTGGTATTCTCTTTCCTGTTATTTTTCTAAGGACTAATTCTGAGTTGCAGAGAGCAGTAGCAGGATGGCAAAAGGAGATGCTTGTAGGCTTAACTGGGCTGATTTGAAGGACTGGAATATGGTTAAGATGGATTAGGTGTTTTACATTGTTACTGCCCTTTGTGCCTTGGGAAGTAATTCTGGCAGTGGGTTGTGGCTTAGCATCATGTCTTGGCAGTTTGCAGAGGCCTGTGCTCTCAGGTCTCAGGCTGCTGTCTGCTGTTACATGCTAATGCACACAGTGTGCGTGGGGTGATCAGCACCTCCAGGTACCTCGCTCAGCATCGGGGGCAGGACACAGAGAAGTGAGAAGAGCATTGAAACAAATAGGTGGAGGGTAGGGCAACTGGCCAGGCACAAAGGCAAACTGGTTCACATGAAAGGATGAGGTTCTTTTACTGTACTGAGGGAATGATAGCTAACAATATCGAAAGCTGCTCTTTCCTGCAGCAGGGAGGGCAGCACAGAGGGGGTTATATAGTTATGGGGGGGCCCTTTTGCCTCATAAATACACAGTCATATATTACCTGTATGCCAGGGTATCTGCCCTCGTACCATCTGCCCATGCAAAGCTCATTGCAAGATCAGGCTTGTCTTAAATTATGATCAGGGTGGAAGTGGTAAGTGCAATAAAACCATGCAAATTTTTTGGCTGAGTTGCAGATACTTCTTTCAGTTTCATGTTAGGTAAAGGTATTGCACTGGGAGTAGAGTGCAATTGCATAGTTAAGATGGCATCTTTCATTTTATTCTAGGAAAAACCAACCAATTACATTTCTTCAGAAGAGTAAATATTCAAGGTTTCCTAGTGTCAGAGTAGCCTGTTTGTTTTTGCTGGGTATCTGTGAAACCACTGTGACTTTTTGGGGAGCTGTGATTAGTCAAGATTACAGGAGATGTGATTAGATGAAGGAGGTGTTTGATATGTGGATTTCACTTGGACTCAGACCTCTTGCTTTGCATTCAATTAAGAGCTGGAGTGTTTGTGCTGCTGGGGGTCAGGAACATGGATCTATTCCTGAGGTGGCCATAAAGCACTGGTGTGCCCTCAGAGGAATTCAACTTTAAACAAAATCAGTTTGTGTATAATGCACCCTCTTCAGAACGAGGTACCTCACAGCCACTTGTCAAGAATGGAAGAGAGCTGTGATCATGGCTGCTTCAAAGGAAAAACAATTTTGAGAAACTGTTATTGATTCCAGCTAAACAAAAATGCTGATTTTGTGCATATGGACTGTAAGTCATTCTCTTGTTCAGAAGAATGTATTTTGAAGGAGGATGTGTGGCCCATTCTTGCTTTTCATTCAGTGTGCACTACACAAGCCATTCTTGTGTCTTACGTGCATTTCTTCGTGCCATAATATTCCCTAACCTAGCTAAGTCAAAATAATTTATCTTAGATTTTAGTTTTCATTATGTACCCCCTGATTTTGTATTTTGTCCAATTTAGTGAAACAAGAACTTGCCATTTCAGTTTACTGCAAGGTAGTCAAGACTTCTTCACAAAATGGGAGAAACTAATAACTTCTCACCAGATTTCAGAGCCAAGTCTGTGCATATCAGCTAACTGACTGCAAACAGTTGTAGTCCAAAAACTTTTTTTATTAGCCTAATGAAGTTCATGAACTTATTAGTTAGAAATTTTGATGTTTTCCCTTTTTTCTTCAGATGACACTGGCTGTCCTAGTAGCCAGTCAGTATCTCCAGTTAAGACTCCTTCTGATGCTGGAAACCGTCCAATCAGTTTTTGCCCTGGTAGCGATGGAGAGTTCTCCAGGAAGAAAATCAGTCCAGGGACAATGAGCGATGGGAACCCGCAGCTGGCTCGATTTAAGAAGGACACAAAGACAATCCTTGTAAAGCCCGGTGAGTGTGGCATAATTCCTTTCATTTCTTTAATTACACATTCTAATTGACTAGTACCTCTACAGGTGGCTACACAGATTATGTTGTGCTGTCTGTGATACCATTAATGCTGACAGTAAATTAAAAACAAAATAGTTGGGTTGTTTCTATGAAGTCACCTGCAAGATCTAAAAACACTGTTGGTATTGGCTTTTTCATGGAAATATAATTAACTGATGTGTTCACATTCTTTTATAAGGCTCAGTGATGATGTCAAATAACTGAAATTGATTTTATCCTGTTTCATGGTAATTGGACACATATTTCACTGGCCAAAGATAAATGACTCTTACTATCAAAGCAAAGAATTATAGTCTTCTGATGCTGATAGATTTATTGTTGTATCCTGCGTAAAGTTTATGCTGCTGGGCTGTGATAGCTCAGGGGATCCAACATGTCAAACCAAGGTAAGATAACAGGCAGCCTATGTGGGAGTTAGGCAGGTGTAGATCCATTTTACATTGGCTGAATCAAGAGCATGTCTCCTGTTGCCTCAGGCTAATGGACCACCTCGGATCACCAAATAAATCAGCACCTGCTTGTTGCACATCCAAGACTAAATATCCTGGTGTGTCATTGGCTGCTTTAACTTTAATGAGTAGATATAAAATATTTGTGTGATTCTTGTACAGGCAGCTCTTGATTACAAATGGCCAGGATATTTGTGCTGTTATTTAATTAATCATGGAGACAGAGAGAGGGTTTTGACCCAGTACAGAGCCCGCTGCAGAACTGACACGGTTTATATGCTCAGATACCTCCTGGATATACTGTTTCCAGAGCTGTTTTATCTCTGGAAGCAATTTTGATACCTCAGTGAGAGCAGACTCAGATTTACCAGCAGTATGTTTAATCCAGGAACAGTAGAGAATGCATTGCAAAAACTTCACTGGCTTGGTCACTGAAAGAGCTGATTAAATCTGACTTACCACCGTCCCTGGAAGGTCTTCAGCTCATTTAATAGCACCATGTTACTCAAGTGTTCCCAGTCTCCCATCGCTCTGCATAATGGATGACAATATTTTTTCAAGGTTTGTTTTCTGTTCCATTAAAAGCAAGGAATCTAATGGAGGCAAAATGCAGTGAGTATGGTACATGACAGTCAAATCTCTAGTCGTGGCTGCAACAACCATTTTGTATGTGAATATGGATGTAGCTTAGCAAAATGTGGATAAAGAATTTTGAAAGGTTTTTATCTATTGAGAAGACCTATACACATGGAAAAGAGCTACGCACTTGTTTCAATAAGTTACTTCATTGTTTTCAATTATTACACTTAAATTGACCTATAATGTCAAGTTAGTAGCCTTTTGCAGTAACAGTCAAAAGTAATCTTCATTTTAGTTGGTGGTATTATTTAAAGTCTTTGAATGAACTTAGTTTAGGTATTCAGCTGTTCTTGTAAGTGGGTGATTCTGTAGCTTTCAGCATCTCTGCATTGATTGATCTCTAAGGTTGGAAAATTTGTCTCTAGACTTCAAGTGTATTGCTCCTGAGAACCATCAAAACTCTCAGAGCGGGAACCAGGTCTAATTTACAGAGTACTTCTAAGTTCCTCTTGTCAAATATATTTCACATTTTTTTAGTGGAAAGTTGTCCAAAAAAATCATACTCAGTGTGAAACCTGGCAAAGATGAGGGACATTCTTGAAACAGGGAGCACACCAGGGGACAACTGGGGTTCTTTTCTTCACTGTAGGCCACAGCAGTTCGTGTAATTCTGTCCCATTGCTGTCTTTTGGCGGATCCAGTCTCTTCCCGACGACATCCTTGCACATGAAGTTCTGGTGACTTAGCTGGGAAAATCTAGCTGTTGCGCAAAGAGGAGGCCTTGTCATGTTAAAAAATAAGTAGGGAGTAAAAGGGGAGCAGTAGAAAGGAAGTAGTACATGGGAGAACAACAGCAACATGTCCTTGCTGTATGTAACTTAGTTCTGCATACAGATGGATATCTCAAACTACAGCACAAAAAGACTTGTGTGTAATATCTTTCTCTCTACCATAAGTCCATAAGGATTTATAGAGATAATCTCTACTTTCTATCTGAAACGTCTTCTGATAATGACTACATAGCAGGGGCCAGACATGAGAGACAAAATTCCAGCCTACCACTATCTTTCACAGGCTCTTTTACAGTGCTACGTTTTTGTAGGCAACTACATCAATCAGTGTGCACCTTCAAAGTGCCTGTCGCTTTGCCGAAAATTTATCTGTTGCCAGGATTGTTTTCTTGGAACATGCTGAATCTCAGAAGTAACACTCACACAAATATTTAGATAATTCAGGAAATGTCAGAGTGGGATCACACTGAGAATGAACCCTGAGACTTTTTTTTAAGGCTGTTCCCAAGCTCCAATGATTTTCTGCTACTCTAGCAACATCAATTCATCTTTCTTTTTTATACTTCAAAATATGAAGTATGACCTAGCTTTTTTTTCCTCTAACAGCCTCAGGCTTTGTTATGTGGATCTAAGTCATCTTCAGCTCTTGAAGTATTAACAAACTAGATTTGGATATCATTCATAATTTGTGCTGTTTGCATAGCAAGTCATACTTGCATACGCATCTTGGAATGCGTTATCACTGCATCTTGCTAAACCTCTGAAAGATTTATAATCATGAAGATGTTATTCATTTGGAGTAGATAGGAATGTTTTTTATTGCATTAAATCCAAATCACACCAGTGTTATAGGTGAATTTGGCTTAAAATTAGTGACTGCATTCCCAGGAAAGGATGGAAAGGACAAATACATTAAAGAAGATATAGAACATCCACTCCAGGAGGAAGTTATGAGCCGTTTAAGTCCAGGATTTTAGAATTAGTTCCCCCTTTTGCATGTGATTCATTTATTCAACATTAAAAGAATAGAAAATGTGTTGCAGAAAATTGCCCCACAAAAAGGCACAAAAATCTTAATTAACACTAGACCTACCTACTTTTGTGTCAAGATGCTGTGCTGAATCCTACACTTTTGGTGGCTGAAGCCTTCTGACACAGATGGACTAGAGGTGTTGTGGATGGACCCTCCATCCATGGAGGTATTCAAAACTCAGCTACACACAGTCCTGGTCAGCTTGCTTCAGCTAGGCTTGTGTGAGCAGGTAGCTGGACTAGGTGATCTCAAAAGGTTCCTTCCATGCTTGGCAATTCTGTGATCCTGTGTTGTCTGAAATTTTTTTTCCTTTAAATAGTGCATTACCCAGATCTATAGTTAAGTAGTTATGAGGCACAATTTATGCTTTCAATGCCCTATCTTTCATGTCTGTGTACTGACATTTCATTTACAATGAGTTCATAGAAATGAAAGAATAAAAAAAGAAAATTCTAACAATCACTATTCAATTAAAAATGTCATTTAACTTTGAGCCAAAGTAAGTAATGTAGTACTTGGCATGTGTTACCAGTATGATCTTCTCTGCCTCTGGCTGGTGAATTTGTCGTGTCAGGAGTGGATGAGCCTTGGGTTAGGATGTCCTAGTCTGAACACATTATTCTTTGAAAACTTTGGGACTATTAACAGTTTTAGGAGAGGCAGATGGAGTGGACTATATTAGATTTAAATTGGCTATGAGTACAGTGTAGGTGTGGGTGCTTTTTTAATCAGCATTGGAGCTGATGATAGTTAACAAAAAGGAGGCAAGGGAAATGACCCTGGGCATTTGGAAATATTAGTTAGAGGTAAATAAGACAAACAGTTTAGACAGAAAATGCAGGTGTTAGCTGCAAATTATATCTAGCTATTAAAAATAACACTCTTCCTGCAGGTTTGTTTGGTTGGGTTGTTTTGTGTGTTTGTTAGTTTGTTGGGGTTTTTTGTTTGGTTGGTTTTGTTTTTTGTTTTTGTTTCTGTTTTTTTTTGTACTGTCTAGCATGTGAGGGTTAGATTCCCAGGATACTAAATGTCCAGGAATTTATTCTTGAAGGCACCCTGTGCAAGCAACAAATAATGGCTAGTTAACCCATTAGTGTAAACTTAGCAGATAGGTTTACCCATATTGCTATTCTACTTCCATATGTGTCTATATTCTAAAGGCAGTCACTTTGATTGTTTTGAAAACAAAACATAGAGCTCTCATTTAGTTTATATTACTGACATCTGGCTGTACTGTTTTACAGACCTTTTGCCACCCCCCTCCCTTTCTTCAGTATGACAGTATGGGAAAAATAGTGTCTGACTGATAAATATGAATGTGCTTTGCTTGAAAAACAGATTAGTTGTTGTATAAATACTGCAAAAGGATTGTCTTCGAGGTAATTCTGTAAATACACTTCACTGTGAAGAATTTCACCTTTCTGTTAACAGAAGGATGCAAGGATAGGACTTTGTTTTAGCTTGGGAAGGCTGATAAAATATTAGAAAGACATGTCTCACTAGTGCATTTATCCAAGAACATTTGTATTTTGTATTTGCATGGGTTTTGTTCATTCTCTGTACCAAATTTCTGCAAGCAGTGGGAAAAAATAATAGAAGTGTTGTTGCCATTGTTCAGGAACAACGGTACAGAACACAAAAAACAAGCTACAGAATGTGCTAACTTCCTATGGCATGCAAAGAGGTTCATTGTTGGTTATAACTACAAGTTTGTCGTTTTACCTCTTATGTTGAAATAATTTTTAAAATGTTGCTGGTGTACTATGTGTTCTAAGACATAATCACTTGTTAAAAAAACAAGCAAGCAAGCAAACAAAACCAAACCAACAGAAACCCTGTATTTGAAGGTAGCAATCTGCCTTGGCAAATCACTAAAATAAATTGGTGTGCTTCATTTTAAAAGCAGGATCATGCAAAGGTGAAAGCAATGAGAAGACTGGTGACCTCGGTGTAAGGTGTTTCTCTCCCTACTGTGGCTTATTTAGCAGTACTTTACAACCCAGCTTCTTTTCTGGGTGAAAGATAATTAGGAGCAAGGATATGTCAAAGAGCATTTAACACGGTTACAAATGCAGGATTTAATCAGAG